TGTAATCTTGAACTTTATTACCAAAACAGGTGAAACTATTAGAGAAAAAACAGATAAGAAGTACATACTGTATAATCAATATATGAAACATACAAAACACAATGGAAATATCAAGTTGTGGATGGCAATAAGTTCATGCTAACCAGTGTTGCTGCCTGTAAGGGATGTAAGTTCAGTCCATGACATGTGTAGCATAGTATTATGGTTACTTCCTTTTCTCTCAGTTTCTAAGATGGAGTCTCAGCTCCATTTCCTTTTCTTAGAGTGAAAGGGTTTTTTAGTAGGCAAAACAGTTTCTAGTTTCTGTAAAATAGTACATTTATTTTGGGTTTCATCTAGTGGCCAAATTTAATACTGCAGGCAGGACAACACTGAATTTTCCTGCTGGAAGCAATTTTGCATGTAAGAGACCCCCAGAGTAACTGTAGACTATAGCCACTCAATGTCACTGTAAAAAGTACCTGTCATTCAATGATACCATAAAGAGTACCTTTCATTCCACATATGCTATCACATTTGGGAATTGTCCTCTCTTTGTAATAGCCATAAAGTTAAATAAAAAAAATAATGGTAATAAAATGTTACATTAAAAAGTTCATTTTAGCATGTATGCCAATATTAAACTAAGAGCTCCAGCACCAAGAGCGTTAAGGACAGGGAATGATGGGAAATATCTCCACTGGAGACACAAACTGTACACCTTCAGGAAAGGTCAAGATCTTTGTCAGGTTATGATTACTGAAGATACAACAAGGAAAGTAGTACAAAAGTTAGATGGAGAATATACAATATAATTTTTATTAATAATCACATTAATTTTAAAAAAAATGGGTTTTGAAGGTTCTGCTCCATCAGGGCTACAATACACTTCACTATGTGATTTTAGAATTTGCAAAATAAAGCACCCTTGGTTTTGGGCCTTCTAGGATCCTTGCAAAAGTAGGAAAACACATATGTGCATATTTCTGGCTGCTTGTACATATATATATATACAGTGGGGTAAAAAGTATTTAGTCAGCCACCAATTGTGCAAGTTCTCCCACTTAAAAAGATGAGAGAGGCCTGTAATTGGCATCATAGGTAGACCTCAACTATGAGAGACAAAATGAGAAACAAAAAGCAGACAATCACATTGGCTGATTTGGAAAGAATTTATTTGCAAATTATGGTGGAAAATAAGTATTTGGTCACCTACAAACAAGCAAGATTTCTGGCTCCAACAGACCTGTACCTTCTTCTTTAAGAGGCTCCTCTGTCCTGCACTCATTACCTGTATCAATGGCACCTGTTTGAACTTGTTATCAGTATAAAAGACACCTGTCCACAACCTCAAACAGTCACACTCCACTCCACTATGGTGAAGACCAAAGAGCTGTCGAAGGACACCAGAAACAAAATTGTAGACCTGCACCAGGCTGGGAAGACTGAATCTGCAATAGGCAAGCAATTTGGTGTGAACAAATCAACTGTGAGAGCAATAATTAGAAAATGGAAGACATAAAAGACCACTGATAATCTCCCCCGATCTGGGGCTCCACGCAAGATCTCTCCCTGTGGGGTCAAAATGATCACAAGAACGGTGAGCAAAAATCCCAGGACCACACGGAGGGACCTAGTGAATGACCTGCAGAGAGCTGGGACCAACGTAACAAAGGCTACCATCAGTAACACACTACGCCGCCAGGGACTCAGATCCTGCAGTGCCAGACGTGTCCCCCTGCTTATGCCAGTACATGTCCGGGCCCGTCTGAAGTTTGCTAGAGAGCATTTGGATGATCCAGAAGAGGATTGGGAGAATGTCATATGGTCAGATGAAACCAAAATAGAACTGTTTGGTAGAAACACAACTCGTCGTGTTTGGAGGAGAGAGAATGCTGAATTGCATCCAAAGAACACCATACCTACTGTGAAGCATGGGGGTGGCAACATCATGCTTTGGGGCTGTTTCTCCACAAAGGGACCAGCACGACTGATCCATGTACAGGACAGAATGAATGGGGCAATGTATCGTGAGATTTTGAGTGCAAACCTCCTTCCATCAGCAAGGGCATGGAAGATGAAACGTGGCTGGGTCTTCCAACATGACAATGATCCCAAACATACCGCCCGGGCAACGAAGGAGTGGCTTCGTAAGAAGCATTTCAAGGTCCTGGAGTGGCCTAGCCAGTCTCCAGATCTCAACCCCATAGAAAACCTTTAGAGGGAGTTGAAAGTCCGTGTTGCCCAGCGACAGCCCCAAAACATCACTGCTCTAGAGGAGATCTGCATGGAGGAATGGGCCAACATACCAGCAACAGTGCGTGCCAACCTTGTGAAGACTTACAGGAAACGTTTGACCTCTGTCATTGCCAACAAAGGATATATAACAAAGTATTGAGATGAACTTTTGATATTGACCAAATACTTATTTTCCACCATAATTTGCAATTAAATTCTTTCTAAATCAGCCAATGTGATTGTCTGGATTTTTTTTCTCATTTTGTCTCTCATAGTTGAGGTCTACCTATGATGCCAATTACAGGCCTCTCTCATCTTTTTAAGTGGGAGAACTTGCACAATTGGTGGCTGACTAAATACTTTTTTGCCCCACTGTATATATATATATATATATATATATATATATATATATATATATATATACTAAAACACTTTTGCATTTTAAATAGAGTGGAGGATGTTAAAATGCCTGTCAAATGTTCTTTTGATGTATCTGTGCCATTGGGAAGATTTATGTTTAATACTAGTTCTGTAGACACAACAGTAAGTGAAAAGAAATCTCCTCTTAGACAACTTTAGGATAGTTGTCCTCATTGAAAAAAAATTCCCACTATTCCTCTTGAGGGGAAAATGGAACTTTTTCTCTTTGCCATAGCTTTCTATCCAGGTGACAGTGACCATACGTTTTGGACTGTAGGTACACTTCATTGTTTCACTTTGGTAAGATGACAGTTTTGCCTTTTGAAAGGGGAAAACCAATAAGCATGATAAGTGTCTTTATTAGCCTATACCCATCTTCTTGTGGTTTGCTAAAGCTCACAGAACAAATCTTGGATGGGCTTTATAATAATAGTAGGGAGTTGTTTTTTAGCATTTAAAAATAAAGCATGTATCAAAGCATGGAAGAGCTCCCATAAATATTTCCAGTCTCAGAAAATGTGGAGACATTCTTAAGACTAAATTAACATTGGATGTTCAGAATTTTCTGTTATTTGTTTTAATACTGGAGCTCTTCCAAGTATCCACATATCAGTACTAAAAACGTGAATCAGATTCAAGTCTATCTTGGAAATAGATATGTACAATCTATGGGTTTAAATCATGTTAGTGTCTGTGAGGACAAACATTATGCTTTACAGAACATATATACTTCTCCTTTAAAAGGTTGTGACAGTGACTGTGACATTGAATCTAAGGCAAGAAAGCTTTGTTTGATTACCTTGTCATCTCCTTGTCACTTCTCAGTTTTGTGCCTGAGGTGCCAAGAGATAAGTTGTACGTCCTACAAGGCAAGGACTCTGTGATGTCAAGCTATGTGCTATACAGTACATAACCTCTTATGTGCGTCATAAAAAAAGATATGTCATTATGCTGTTTCCAATGCTTGTGCCATTACCACGTCAGGTGTTCTTCTGAAAACTGGCTTACAAACTGAAAAAGAGCATAAATGGTCATACTGGGACCTTTGAGCTATATTCACAGGAACTATAATTTGCACCAACTGGGATATTATGTCAGATCTTTTGGGGCTGCAGATTATGTTGTCCATTATAAATTGTCACTCAAACACTATCTTTTCCTAGATAATATTTCTTTTCCTCAAGGTCTGTTATCTATTGTGTTATGATTTCAGCATTGTCATCTGACTTAGCTCTTATGACTGCTCCTCTGTTGGCTTGTCCTTATTCCCTACAAGTATCCTGCCTCATATCTTACACAAGAATTATTGTCCCATTGAAAAGTAGGATATTGTTTTAAAATAACAAATTTAAAGCTCAACTCAAGGCAGCATTACCTTTACAGGTTTCATGCATGCACACCTTCCCATTCCATACAAGGACCACACTCTTATGCAGGTATGTCAGATTTAATAGGCATGTTTGAGACAAAACCATTTAAGTCTGACAAGGATGCTTACAATGGTCAGTTTTTATTCATTTAGTGTTTAATCACTTAAGGAAAGTTCATCTAAATCTAGTAATCCATCTAACATTACCCTCTCAACAGGTTGACAATGCAGCTGTTTAAGGGTCGCTCCATTACTTCTCCATATACAGTTGTGTTCAAAATAATAGCAGTGTGTTGAAAAAAGTGAATAAAGCTCAAATACCTTCTAATAGCTTTTATTTCCATACACACAAATGCATTGGGAACACTACACATTCTATTCCAACTCAAAACATGAAGAAAAATATATCAAATTTGTGTTGTTCCTCTAAAAAAATTTAAGAAAAGTGAATAGAAGAATGTTCAAAAAAATAGCAGTGTTTGTATTCTTTACAAACTCAAACATTCACTATATAAACTGAAAAATGTTTGAAGATTTTGCTTTCCTTTGAATCACTTCATTAATATTTAGTTGTATAAGCACTGTTTCTGAGAACTGCTGTACATCTGTGTTGCATGGAGTCAACCAACTTCTGGCACCTGTGAACAGGTATTCCAGCCCAGGATGATTGGACTACATTCCACAGTTCTTCTCTATTTCTTGGTTTTGCTTCAGAAACTCTTTTTTTTGATGTCACCCCACAAGTTTTCTATCGGATCCGAGGATTGGGCTGGCCACTCCATAATGTCAATTTTGTTGGTCTGGAACCAAGATGTTGCACGTTTACTGGTGTGTTTGGGTTCGTTGTCTTGTTGGAACACCTATTTCAAGGGCATTTCCTCTTCAGCATAAGGCAACATGACCTCTTCAAGTATTCTGATGTATTCAAACTGATCCATGGTCCTTGGTATGCGATAAATAGGCCCAACATCGTAGTATGAGAAACATCCCCATATCATGATGCTTGTGCAACCATGCTTCACTGTCTTCACAGTGTACTGTGGCTTGAATTCAGTGTTTGGGGGTCGTCTGACAAACTGTCTCTGGCCACTAGACCCAAAAAGAACAATCTTACTTTCATCAGTCCACAAAATGTTGCGCCATTTCTCTTTAGGCCAGTCAATGTGCTCTTTGGCAAATTGTAACCTCTTCAGCAGATGTCTTTTTTTCAACAGTGGGACTTTGCGGGGGCTTCTTGCAGATAGCTTGGCTTCACATAGGCGTCTTCTAATTGTAACAGTACTCACAGGTAACTTTAGACCTTCTTTGATCTTCCTGGAGCTGATTGTTGGCTGAGTCCTTGCATTTTGGCTATTCTTCTATCCATTCGAATGGTAGTTTTTCGCTTTCTTCCACGTCTTTCAGGTTTTGGCTGCCATTTTAAAGCATTTGCAATCATTTTAGCTGAGCAGCCTATCATTTTCTGCACTTCTTTATATGTTTTCCCCTCTCCAATCAACTTTTTAAACAAGGTACACTGTTCTTCTGAACAATGTCTGGAGCGACCCATTTTCCTTAGAATTTCAGAGAGAAATGCACTGTAACCAGCATGTACAACATTTGCTGCCTTCCTTCCTTAAATAAGGGCAATAATTGCCACCTGTTTTTCAAAGAATGAATGACCTCACTAATAGAACTCCATACTGCTATTATTTTGAACATGCCCCTTTCAATTAGTGATTCAATTACACAGAATCAGCAGCATGCATGTCATGACTGTTGGGTCTGTTGGATTTCTATTACTCTACTACACCTGCTAGTAAATGATTTGCCATGTAGAAATATCATTTCTACCAAAACAGTGATTGATCGGGTTAGTGATGTCTGACTGCTATTATTTTGAACACAACTGTACATGGTAAAAGTATGAGTATAGCCACACCAAAGCAGAACTTGTCTACTGGTCAGACCAAAAACGAAGGAAAAAAGCTTAAGAAAATGAATGTAGTCACCACATCTAAGAATTTGATAATCTGCAAAATATTAAAGTGGGTAAAGGCTCAAGGTTTTTTACATTCATAAATTCATAAATGCATGAAAGTAAAAAAACCTTGTGTGTGCAGCAGTGCCCTCAGCCCCCCTAATACTTACCTGAGCCACATCGAGATCCAGCAATGTGTATGACAGCCTCAGATGTCCCGGGTCTGTGCCTCCTCATTGGCTGAGCCATTGGCTCCTGCTGCTGTCAATCACAGCCAGTCAGCCAATGAAGAGAGGTATGTCGAGCTGCGGCTCCTTGTGTGAATGGATACACAGGGCAGCGGGTGCCCCATAGGAAGCTGCTTGCTATAGGGGCACCCAACAGAAAGGAGGAACCAGGAGAGCCTGCAGGGGACCCCAGAAGAGGAGGATCCAGGCTGCTCTGTGCAAAACCACTGCACTCAGCAAATAAGTATAACATGTTTGTTATCTTGCAAACAAAAAAATGAACGTTTAGTATCTCTTTAAATGTTTGTTTTTTGGATTAGATATACTTTAAACTTTTGTTGCTGAAGATCTGCTACAGCAATGTTTCCCAAGATAATTCCTCAAGTACCACCACCAGTTTTGGGAACTTCTCTTAGATAAAATAGCTGTCATACTGTAAATATCAGGTCATTTGCATTGACTTAAAGCACCTGTGCAAGATGAAGAAAGTCCTGAAAACATGACCTGCTGAGCCTACTTGAGGAGTGAGGCCATGAACCATTGTCCTACTGCATCTTTCCTGTCATTTCCTGTCTACATGAATGCACTTCATCAACAGTTACATGGTATTTCCCAGGACAGGTTACCTGATGATGACAACAATAAATCATGCCTGTATAATGTGTGCTAAAACAGCCACTTATATTTTCCATCAAAAGCCTGGTGCTAATACAGGAGCACAATTGGTAGACAGGAACAGAGCTATATTGCCATTTAAGAGGACATGCCTGATCTTCATGGCAGGATCACCATGTATTCATTTAATAATATACAGAAAATGGCTTTTGAAATCACAGTAGCCTGTTAATGCTTTTATTTTGATAAGATTTAGTAATTGGGATTAGTTATGCTTTAAAACTCCTTTTAATTTTGCCATAAAATGTTAGGTACTGTATATAGGATTCTAACATCAACTAGTAATGGACATTTGTGCAATCATGGTCTGTATTGTGTAACTCTGTATGCATGATCTCTGTTAGGTGCTCTTTATGGAGGTCTCTTGAATTTTGTACATTTATCCTCCTTGGTATAGATTATGTGATCCATTCAGACAGCATGATTTTCAAATATAGTGGGAGCACTTTCACCATTGCCTATGAGAGCCATCAGGAGATACTTTTTAATGGCCAGTCCACCCTCTGGGAAAATAATTTATGCTGTATACATCATTTTGATCTAAGCAGGGTCCACGTACACACATTCCTAACATTCACATTTGTACTATCCTTTTTAAAACCAGCATTAAAACGTTGCATGACTTAGTGAAGTATTTGAAACATTGAACTAACAGTTTATATGACTGTTTGAGTTTAGATGAGTTCAATGAAAATCTTTGAAAGGGTATATTTTTAAAAATGACAGACATCTTTATTACATTCCAGTATACAGTATAATAAACATACCATGCATTACACACTGGAAACATTCCCCTTCACTTATGAGCAAGGTTGTTGAAGATAAAATATGAGTGATAGAATACCAAAAACTGCAATAGTACTGCATTTGATTGGCTCTAGATACAGTATGTCTGATCTATACAAATCTAAGTAAAGCTTTCTTTCATAGTTCTATAGCAGAATTGCCCTTTTGGACTGGCTCTATGGAAGTTTTTATCGTGTTTGTTAAGCATTTACATTACAAAAACAAAAAAAGATATTCTCAAAAGAAATGCCCGTAGCGAATAGGGAAGAATGGAAATAGCGCAGGGCATACATGACTAGGCCCAGAGTGGTGTAGGGAACGGAAAGGGTTAAAGTTAGCTCCAGGGGGTGGGGAATTGATTGGGGAATTATAGGATTGGCAGATGTGGAGTGTAGGAGGAGTCTGTGGCACCTTAGGGTGGGGGGTTGTGTGGAAGGGGCGTCAGTGGAGCTGGACGTGAGCAAGGACCAGAGCTTCCCTCCCGCCCTCCCTGTTTAGTTGGGTCTAGGGTCTCGTCCAGGGGCAGGTAAGAAAAAAAAAAAAAAAAAAGTTGGAAAGGGTTTTTTTTTCTGTTGGTTCGCGGGCGGTTGTTGGTCTTTGAAGGCGGTTCTCATCTTGGAAGGTAAAACAATGGTGTGGGACCCCATCCGTGGTATGGGGGGCCCAGTGGATATTCCCAGTTAAGCAAGGTTTAACTGGAAGGTGGTGGTGCTGCACTGCGGACGGTATGGTTGTCTCCAAGCTGGTTGGTTGCGGCTGGAGGCCTAGTGTATAGGGTTGTCCGCAGGTGCATTTTGGATCGTTTGTGGGTGCCTTTGAAGACCAACAACAATTCTTTGGTTTCCGTTAAGGAACGGTTGATGTATGTTAAATGTGAAGTTGTTAATAAAAGGCTATGTTGGCCATTTACTCCAAAATGGTGTCATGTTTTTTGTAAAGTTTATTTGGTTAAGGGGGTGGGGAGTGGTATGGATAGGTAATGGTGGAAGTAGGAGTGGACAAGCCTATCTATGGTGCATTAGTCATGGCTTGGTGCAGGAAAGACAGACTAGTCTTTCAAATTCCAGGATAGTGGAAAATGGGAAAACCCCATTTTAACACAATTTGCAAATAAACTGATCCAACAGCATAAGCAAAATGCTTACTAGTTGTTTACAGTTTCAACATGATTTTAAAGACCCTGATAAAGTTTAGGTGGTGAAATGTATTAGATTTAGAAAATATCTAAATGAAAAGGTGAACTAAATCCAAAAGTCCTGGCCACCCTCCCAACCCTGCTGCACATGGCGACCATGATGCCCTGTGCTGCCAGTGTAATGGTCCATACCCCATATTCCATAATCACTCATTACTGTTTGGGTTCGCCCAGCTCCTCCACTACTACAGTTCTGCAATAAGCAAAGCTTATGCTCCCTGTTAATTGGAGAGCAGGGAACAAGCCAGACCTTTGCAAAGAGACCACTGCTTTCACATAGCAACGGTCCAACTCTGCAGCATGCTGGCATGACACAGGCATTTCTACTCAGGCTGTGGGTGATTAAGCACTTGCAGCCCTTAGGACGTTATATAATGTCCTTGGGTTTCAGTGGTTATACTGGGATGGTCAATATTTTCATCTGGCGATTCTCTTTAATGTAGAAGTGATACGAGTAGCTACAGAGCCACTCAATCACTTTTACAGGTGTCGGAATGGGGGGAGATGGGACCACTCCAACCAGCGGTACCTAAAAGACTGAACAGAGAGAGAGGAAATTATGTATTTTCTTCCTCTCTGTGAGATCAGAAACCCGAAACAATGAGGATTTTGTCACTTCCGATTTTGGTTTGCTCTTGGTTTGATCAGATGCTTTGGCGGCCAGAGGAGACATCTAGGGCTTAATAGGCCCCCAGATCTCTCCATGAAGAGGACCTATCAGGGCCCATGCTATCACAAGGGATGTTGTTCATCCCCTGTGATTGCAGTAAAGTTGAATAAAAGAAAAATAATAAAGGTACAGTGTTAAAAAATAAGTAAATTTGAATAAAATAAATAATAAAATAATAAAAAATTACTTGCCCCCTACCCCTGTACTAATGCACAAATGAGAGCACGCATGTAAGTCCTGCATGCATATGTAAATGGCATTCGCATCACACATGTGAATTATTGTTGAGAACGTTAGAATGATAGTAATAATTCTAGTGCCAGGCCTCCTGTGTACTATAACTCTAAACTGGTAATCTGTAAAAGCTTTTAAAGTGTCTCCTGTGGATAGTTTAAGGTACCATAGTTTGTTACCATTCCACGGGCACGCACAATTTTACAGCGTGACATGTTTGGTATCTATTACTCAGTGTGATATTATATTTTATATTTTACCAAAAAATTGGGTGTTATATTGTGCTTCTGTGCGCTAAAATTCATTAAAGTGTATTTTTCCCCCAAAAAAATTTCATTTGAAAAACCACTGTGCAAATACCATGTGATAAAAAAAATTACAACATCCACCATTCTCTGGGGCCTTTGCTTAAAAAAACATTTAATGTTTGGGGGTCCTAAGTAATTTTTTTAGCAAAAAATAATGATTTTTATAATTATGAGAGAAATGTCAGAATTGACCTGGGTGACAAGCGGTTACAAAAAAAACTGTAATACTTTGAAAACTTTTTGTTTTGATGCACCTGGAATGTATTCAGCTGAATTATATAGAAAAATTCTGTGGGTTTAAAACCACTTGATGACCGCCCACCCTTAATGTACTGTGGCCACTGTAGGCAAATCAACATACTCATATGTCGCTCCCTACTCCCTGGTTTTGGGCATGGCACTTG